AAAACAAATTCACATACAAAAAACATCAAATAAAATGAAAGGTAGCAGAAAGAAGAAAAAAAATCTCATAACACCAGAGCTGCTAAAATTTAATACGGGAATAAATTTTGACCGTTTTTTTTTTTTTTTTTTACTAATGCACTACCACAATAAGTTTCAATGTTTTCTCGTGTATAACGGAAATATTTTGTTACACATAACAAAGCATATAACACCAAACGTAGTTGTGTATTTACACCTGAGTCAGAGGAGGGAAATTTATTTATTTATTTTTTTTGCGGAGATGAAAAGAAGACGTGGATGTTCACTTTTTCCTAAGTCCATATTGCTGGGAGCGCAGCAGATCATTTTCAGCAACACGTGGACACTCACGGGTATGGCAGGCTGTTTTTACATAAAATCAGCTTTACCATGCTTACATTCCAGATATCAGAAATCAGTTTCTGACTAGACATATTAGTAATTTAGGTGAGAGATATCTAAGATTCAGCTAATGCAAATGAAATTGCAGACTTGTTTTGTAACTTTGTGTTCCAGTTGCAATCCAACTTTAAAACGTTCGTCTTTTGTGTCTCGTCTTGTTAGAGGAAGGTCATAGAGTGGTTGCTGAAACACGACCCCGCCCTTCGACCCACCACCCAGGAGCTGCTGAAGAGCGAGCTGCTACCGCCGCCTCAGATGGAGGAGTCGGAGCTGCATGAGGTGCTGCAGCACACCATGGCTAACGTCAACGGCAAAGCCTACCGCACCATGGTGGGCCAGTTGTTCGCACAGAACACCTCACCGGTCATGGATTACACTTACGACATCGACCTTCACAAGGTAAATAAACCCCCGCAAATCACAAAAATCTGTAAAACTCAGTTAATTTTATAGATGCCGAGCTACACTCTGATCAACATATTCTGAGCACTACACTTTGTGCATGACCTTTGCTTCAAACTTTGTCCGAGTGTCACATCAGTTAACGAGATAACATTATTTTGAAGGTTTGATCCATTCCAGCAACATTTTGCTGAGGCTCGTCCCTTATTTCCCATTACTGCCTCTAGATGTCACTGCAGACACATTTTTATTCCCGCTGTTCGTCCTGTTTCTTCTGTGCTGGTTCAGCAGGCGAGCAGACGGCTCCCTAACAGAGGCTGTTTGTTTGTTTTCCCTTCAGGGCAGCTTCAGCTTCACCGGTGCCAAATTGCAGCAACATGTGTATGAAACCATCAGCAGAATCTTCAAAAAGCACGGTGAGCACACTGCTGTGTTAAACGTGGGTGCATTTGAACATGCATAGGTCGKTGTTTTCGTTCCAATCCAAGCGACTCGCACCCCTGACCTGGTGTTAGCCTGTTTTAGGGACCCCAAACATCTGGTCCAGTGTGAGACAGCTAAACAATAGGTTTACTGTCGAACAGCTCAGATTCCTTACACATGGTGCCTTTTTTGCTCACTTTGCTCATGGCGTCCAGCTGTACTTGTTTCTGCTCACAYGCATCAGTTCTCGTAGTGTTGGCGGGGTCACATCGTCTCATGGAGATGGAGCAGTAATCTGTAATGTGCCCTCAGGTGCTGTACGTCTTCATACGCCACTGCTACTCCCCAGAAACAGGAAGTTGTATGATGGAAGTGAGCTGGCCTGCTTCATGGACCACAGCGGAATGCTGGTCACTCTGCCCTATGACCTTCGTGTGAGTTCAAC